AAGAGGTCCAGTGCTTCCTTGCGGAAGTCCTCCCCCAGGATGTCCTGCATGTATGCAATGTGCTCCGCAAAGGGGGCGAAGTGGGCAAGGAGCCGTTCCGCCCATTTCCCGCGCATATGGAGTTCCAGTGCTCGCTGAGTCGTGGGTTCCATTTCCCTGATCTTCCCGGGCCTCCAGTGCCGCCACTTCAGAAGCTCCGGCTGTTGGAGTGGGGGTGGGTCATCTCGCGAGAACCACCTCAGTTGGTCCTGGCGGTCCAACTCATTCTCCAGCGGGGAAAAGTTCTCGCTGAGCTTGCCGTCCGCAGCCGCCATGAGGAGGAGCCATAGGCTATCCCAAAGGTCGGCCAGGTCCCCCGCGGACAAGGGCTGGGGAAGCCTGCCCGCCGCCGACGCCACCAGGCCATTGAAGTAGTCCGTTGGTACCACTTGGTCCGCCTGGTCCACCGGAATGCCCGAGAGTTCCAGGAGCTGAGCGAATCGGAGGGCCGGCTCCCCGCCCAGCTGCCTCCCCTCCTCCGCCGTGCCATGGCGCAGGCACATCAGGACCAGCAGCTCCCCGTCTGTCTGTCTCGGGGAGATAGACTCATCCGCCAGCGTGTCCCAAAGGACCCTTGGGATGCGGTCCCAAAGACGAGTGTAAGGCGGGCGCAACAGAAACTGTGTAGAGACCCTAGCCATGCTGAAAACAAGGGTTCGAGCCTCCTATCGAACGGCCGGGACCCAACCGCGGCAAACTGCACGAATGTTCCAACCCCACAGTATGCCGAATGCACATGGGGCAGGCAGGCCACACGCAGCCCAACAGGGCCCAAAAGTCAAACCCCCCGGAAATCCCCAACAGGAACCACGGAGGGGGAAGACCAACCCAGCGGGGGATTCCCCAAAACCCCCAGGGGACCACTTTCTTCAAACAGTGGCCGATACGGCCCGTCCTTGGAGCAGCCAAATTGCGCAGCCTCCGGTTCGAGGCAACCGGCAGTCGTGGCGTGTTGAAACAGGGGGGAAACCAAGGTGAACAAAGAACCCCAAAATAAGGGAAACACCCCAACACCTCCCCCCACCCAAGACGGGGCCAGAGGCACCCAAGTCCCGGTGGGGAGAGAACATACCACGCCACATCCAAAAGGGTAGTGAGACACGACCTAGCGGCTCTCACCCTTCAAGATCGCCTCCTTTGCCACCGAGTGGATGGCCGCCAGCCCTGACTTCTCCGGGTTGCTCAGGATGACCGACCACAGGGCAGTGGAGACATCCCCCAGGCCGTTCGAAGAGCTGAAGCGCATGCGCGGGGTGCTCGCATCCCCAAGGACTAGCCGCTCGTCCCTGGGGGGCTCCGTCGGCTCCACCCGCTTGTAGAACTCCATCCTGTCCCGGATCCACTGATTATATAGCTGCTCCGGGGGCTCGTCCATCACCAGCTGCAGGCAGGTGGCCTTGTCCTTGTGCCACCCCGTAATCTGGAGCAGCCGGGTCCCCCCACAGCTCGCCTTCCAGAAGCCCTTGCAGAACCTGCACATGTAGCCCCCGGTGGTCTTGAACTTCTCCTTGCCCACCACTTCCCATGCGCTGATGCTGGGCAGGACCAGGCCGCACTCCACCGAGGCCCAGAACACGTGCTTGGTTCCCGTCGGGAAGTGCTTGTTGATGTACTTCTTGCCCGCGACCGCCGTGACAGTGGACGTGGTGATCGGGGGGTACCTTCTGGTGCCCTGGTCCGGCGTGCGGAGCGTGGTGTCCGCTCCCGCCAGAATCTTGGCCTTGGGGTCCGATTCCTTGGCCGCCCCGCCCCCGGGGCCAGAGGCACCCAAGGGGGGGGAGCAGCCCAGCTGCCTGATCAGGTCCTGGGAGTAGCCCAGCCGGTCGTACAGGGCCCCCGCCGCCTCCTGCGGGACCGGCTCCACCCAGTCATGGACCACGTTGCAACGCCAGTTGACCTTGATCTCCACCATGGAGGACTTACTCAGGCCCGCCACCAGTTTGGTGTACACCGAGTCAAAAGCCCTCAACGATGACAGCGGAAGTGTGATTCGCTCGTCACAGACCGCCCTGAAACGCAGGGCCTCCTTGCTGTCGTGGACGGGGGCCACTGGGAGCTCCATCACCGGCAATGGGCAATTGACGATGAAGTTCTTGGCTGCCAGAAACGTCCCCATCTCCTTAAAGATGTAGCTCCATTCCGCCTTGTTGCGCGGCTTGGGGATTCCCAGGCTCTCCAGGAAGGGGACCGCCTCCTTCCGCATCTGGAGGATGTTCCCCATCCACTTATCCGAAGTCGAGCCCTCCGCATTGCGGCCCCGTCGCTGCGTCTTCACGACCAGCGGGAATGTGGTCCAAGCCGAGTAGATGTACTTGAAGGTGAAGCGGTGGGCGTACACCCCTGTCAAGCTCGGCAGGTCCCACGTGCGAGTCTGCCTTGTCCAAAACACGCCATCGCCCTTAGCCCAGAAGATCCCCACCACCTGCTCCGGCGCCGGGCGCTCACCCCGGTTCACCTGCGCTCGGATCTCCAAGGCCGAGTAGATGATCGGGTCGATGTGGTCCCGCTCACACGTGAGTGGGTGGGTCCTGCGCTCCAGGGCCAGGAGCTCCTCCGGCGAGAGCTTGAATTGCTGGTCCGCGCCCTTGGGGATCTCGCCGCTGGAGTGCTTCTTCCAGATCCCCCCAAACATCCGTAGCTCCCCTTGGTGCCTCTTCATCGCCCAGAGGAGCAAGGACAGCTTACCCTCCTCCGAGTCCAGGTCCTGCGGTGGCATTGGCTGGTCCCCCCCGGGGCCAGTGGCACCCTTGGCCAGATCGGGCATCTCCTCCAGCAACGCCTCCTGGTTCCACGGGTTCTGTGCCTCTCTGCGCCTCCGGATGTAGGGGACGTACTTCTCCTTGATGTCCCCCACGTTGGGGATGTCCTCGGGGTCATCCAGCTCCAGGGGGCAGAACAGCCCCCTCTCCAGAGCCTGCCTGAGATCATCTGGCCCACCTCCAAGGGCTGGAGGGTGTGGTTAAGCATCCATGCCTGGTTGGTGTCCTGGGTGCGCTTGTTCGCCTCCTGCGCCTCCTGAATGGAGATCATCGCATCAGCCAGTGCCTGGCTGGCGTCGACACCCTTACCCTCCAGGTACTGATCTCGCAGCTTGGCCTTGAATCGCTCCTGAGGGCCGGGCTCCCTCATTGGCCACCTCCTCTGCCGGCAGGGCCTGCATGCCCTCCTGGAGAGGCGCCAGGATTGCCATCTCATTGTCCAGCATCTCATCCGTGACCAACTCCTTGTGCCGCTGCCTGGCCGAGGACTCCTCCGGGGTCGGTTCCCGGTGCTCCCTCAAGGCCTTGTGCAGCTCTTCCTTCTTCCGAATCGCCTGGTCCACCTGGGGGTGGTAGAGCTGGAAGCTCTGAGCCTCTGCCTCCTGCAGGGACCGCTGCACCTTGACCTTGACCATGGACAGGATCTCCTGCCGGATATCCACCCGCCTGTTAGCGGGACCACGTCAGCCAGTCCGTTTTCGGAGCAGCTCTCCCCGGGTACCACCGGGGCCAGCGGCACCCAGGCTTCCCCCATCCCGCTGCTGGATCCAGGTCGGCTTGCCCTCCACAATGAGCAGGTTGTACGTGACGCCGTCCGCCTCGTAGGTAGCCGAGGGTGCCTGGAAGGGGACAAACTCCTTGCCCGGGCAGACCCAGCATTGATTGGCTGCCTCCGGCCACCCCGTGCCGCATGCCTTACACATGAATTTGTAGTCCGAGTGGCCGGCATCGAGTCTGTGCATCCGCTGGGTGCCAATGCATGCCTTATTCCGCTGGAACTGTGAGGCCCAGACCTCCTCTTGCCGGATCTGGATCTTCATCGGAACATAGGCCTCCAGGATGCGAACCACCAAGTCCTCCGTGAGATTCTTACCGACAAACTTGTGGAACAGGGAGACCGCCTCCTCCACCGTGACGTCCCTCAGCAACGTGGCCGCCGATGCCGGGAGGACCGGGAAGAGGTCTGGGAGGTCCACTAGCTTGAAATAGCCAGGACGGCCCTCCACCGGCACCAGGGAGACCGGTTTGTTCACCGGGGCCGTGGTCTTCTGGGAGGCCGCCACGAAGCCCTTCAGCCTCTTCGTTGGTGGAGTAGCCCGCTCCGTGGTGACCGCATCGCCCATCTCCTTGTCCTCGTCCTCGGCGGGGCCAGGGGCACCCAGGCCGGGAGTCGGTGTGGAGAAGGCCACACGGAGCCGCTCCAGTGCACTGGAGAGGTCGTTCATCACATCGGTGGCCGATGCCGACGGGGGCGCCTCGGGCTCATCCAACACCAGGCCGGCCGCCACAGCCGCCTCGCGTGTGCGGACTTCCTGGGCCTCCTGGCTGGCCATTTCCACCTCCTCCGCGGTGAGTGCCTGGTCCTCAATCAACTCGAAGGAAGTTGCCGAAGTTGCCGAGGAGGCCATTGCTGGTTCGGGGTTAGTTCGGAAGTGCTACCCCTTCAAATTTTTCACACAAGTTGGGTTCAGAGAACCCAAGAGCAAAGCTTGAGCCAAAATGGCCGGGGCCATTATGGTCAAGCATTTCAAACACAGTTCATGTTTCCACATGCGTTTCAACATTATATAACAAACAAAAAAGACAAACAGCTCCAAGTTGGATGCATCGATGTCCCGATCCTATGCCTCGAAACCAGGTTTTGCTTGGTCTCTCTGAACATGAGGCAGCCAGTTTTGTGGGCTCTTTTCATCCGTGGAACCAAAGAGAAACCACCCTTCGGAGGGTTCCGAAAAAAAGAAGAAAAAACAGATAAAACATGATATTGCAGAGCTGTGTGGCTTGAAACAAAAAGACGCACCCATGTATCATGCAAAAACACTGCCGCTATCTGTCGATTGACTTCCACTTGCTTAAGTCCCCGGAAATCATGATCAACTATCAAGAAGTGATAGATGCCCCTCAACAAGCAATACAGACATGAAACGCATATTCTGAAGCAAATTTAAGCTAACGATGCCCCCCTCCCCCTCCTTTGCGCGCCTCGGGCAGCAAAGACCATGGCTTGCCCGGGGCACTATCCACCAGAGCGACCTGGTCCTGAGCGCTATCGAGGTGCCGTGGGCCCGGCCCGTTCGGCGTGGGAAACGATTTTCAAGCCCGCCAGCTGCGCGTGCTAGGGGGATGCGTCATTTGTTCAAAACCAAGTAAAAGGGGGTAGCCTCAACAGAAAAGCACACCCAGGTGTCAGTGATGCCAAAGGCCCATTTTCATGACTACTTGATCACTTCAATCTGGACCACTCCTGAAAAACACGACTCCTTTGACCCAACAAGGGAAAGCAACGCTGGATCCCATTACTCAAGGTCACTGCTTCACGGTCCTGTCGACCAAAGGGCTGTAGCACCGGCGCCGAGCGGATCACATCGCACTCCCACCTGCAGATTTTCCGCCCCAAGCTCTTTGGAATTCCTAAACATCCTGGATGAGAAAACACAAATTTGACGTCTGTTGAAAGGTGCAATAGAAGCTGCCGGTTGCCGATTCATCAATTGGGACACATATTTACGAAAAAAATGCACTTCGGGAAAAGAACAAAGGACCTCACCCGCCGCCCCACCACACCCCTCCGCCCAGTCGCAGCGCTCCCGGCCATCCCAACAAAAAAACACGTGCCAAAGGCGGCGATTGCTTCACCAGCCATCCAGCGACCCTAAATTCCCCGCCACATTCCAATGGGATGCGAAACTCCGAAGCCTTCAAGAATCTTCCGAATTGCCGACCCAAATCACCAACTAAGAGTTACCTTAAGTCACCTGACCTCAGGAAACCGTTTCCTGAGCCTCCGTCCAAACCGGCCAAGTTGATGCCTGACTCTGGGAGCCCCGCCTCCACTTCCGCGCCACGTCGTCGTTGGCCTCAGCCAGACGCACCCGAAGGAAAGCCCCCAGTTGGCCTGTTTTCAGGGGGGCACCCTTTTCAGGTTGGTTTCAAGGGAAACCAAAGGGAAAACACGACTTTGGGGCGGGGAGGTGTTCCCCCCCCCATTTTGACACATACATACATATACACACTTGACTGTCAGCGGATAGAGACACTCAGACCGAACGGAATGGGCCATGGCCGTAACAATTGAAGCTCCACTGGCCATTGGTTTCATTAGAAGGGGTCTTGCCCTATGGTTCTTATGGTGCTCTAAGCTCACAACTAATCCCTTCCGCTTTCCACCAGCAGTCCCCGGTATGCGCAAGTCTGCTCATTGCCTGAAAAAACAAACTGAACAAATCATTGTCCCGGGATAACAACCTGGAGATGCATTCTCCGGCCTTTTAGGCGTTTTGGTTTCCTGGTCGTTTTGGGCGTGGGCGTTTTACTTTAGAAGCCACCGGACAGAGTCGCCCCTTCGCCTCATTTTAAGGGTCCCCAATTTGTTGTTTTAACATACACAAACAAAAAAAACGCCGACGGGCTACTGGCCTGAACTCCGAGCGTCCCTCGATTTTGGGTTTGGATTGGTGGCTTGGATGGGCGGTTTCAACGATTTACCCTCCCACCAACTAACATGGAAGTGCAAAAGGCCCTTCCAAGAAGAAAGTCGTCTTTATACACAATTCTGTGCACTTCCATGCTAGCTGGTGGGAGGCTACCAGGTTTCTTGAACCATCCCCAAACCAAACACTACCAAAGGGTGACCATGGTCACCTGCCCGGATGGGGTCGGAAAGCGATCCGCGAGATTCCGCGGCCCCGGCGCACGGAGTCAAGCCGCAATCCTCAGGAACGCATGGGAACCCCGTGGGAAAAGTGACCGTTGCTCCCCTCAAATTAACATGGAAGCCAAAAAGCTGGTCCCCGAAAGGGGATTCCTCTAAACATGATGGCTTGTCTGGGCTCCATGCCTATTTGTAGGAGGGTGATCAGGGGGTTCCGTTGTTCCGTGACTTGCAATATTTCGGGCATCCATCCATTCGTCCAAAAGGGTCCGAAAAGGGGCGCCGTCTTTTTGTTTGGATTCGGCACAACCACGTAGCCCCGTGCCCCAAGCATTCCGCTGGTAAGTTTTGCCCTTCATGTCGTGGACCCTTCGATTGGACCACTGCCCCGTCAAAATGAAGCGACCCCGAGGAGGTTTTCCGCTCAGTTTTCCTTCGCCAGGCGCCAACTTTTCGAGTCGGTGAAAACCAAACGGCAAGACAGCCACAAAGGCAACCGGTAAAAGAGTCGACGTGGACATGGAATCCAGGACTCTGAGTGGTCCGGGGCAAGAAAAGTCACACCCATGTCACTTCATGGGTCCGGGTTGAAACAAACAAAAGCACCCTTCCTCCATTCTCAATTTTATTCATTACCCACCTAGTTTAAGACAAAACCCCTTATCTTGCATGTTTCTCATATTTTTCCCCAACAGCTGAAAGCTTTGGGGTCTCAGCCCAGATAGGCTCCGGGGTGGTCCGGGGCGGCCTTGAGGTAAGGTTCCACAAGGGTTCCACCAGGGTTCCACGAGGTTTCTGCGAGGGCTGGCTGGCGCGAGCACTAAAAAGAGCACCGCATGCTCTTGGGGATATCACCTGAGCTGTTTTTTGGGGGGGGTTCGTCCTATCTTAAGATTGACAAAACCCCTTTATCTTGCATGTGTTTCTCTCATATATATATATATATATATATATTTGGGGGCGGAGGAGTCCGAGTCTTCCTACCTCCAGAACCCCAAGCAAACCGACGCCCCGCCGCCCAACGCGCCCGGCAGCGGCAGCTCTGAGGCTCTGGGCGCAGCTCTCGCGGCCGGCGGCCACCAGCCAGGCCGCCACGGCGCCCTGCTGCTCCGGGCCCAGCTGCCCCAGCCTCAGTCCAACGGATCCAGCGGCGCGACTGCAGGGAGCGTTGGGTTGTTTTTGTGTGTGTGTGTTTTTGTTTTGTTTTTTAATCTTCTGTTTTTTTTGCGAAACCAAATCAAAAGGAAAACAAGCACTCGGTGATTCATGGTTTGTGGTTTCACTGCAGGCAGCTTTGGGGGGGTCTTTTGCAAAACCCATCACAAGGAACACAGCGAGTTTCGGCTTGTTTTTGTGCAAAACCCGTCAAAAGGAACAAGGACTGGGTCTTTAATGGTTGGTTTAACTGTAGGGAGCTTGGTTGGAGTCATTCAAAAGGAAAACAAGCACTCGGTGATTGATGGTTTGTGGTTTCACTGCAGGGAGCTTTGGGGGAGTCGTCTTTTTTGGCAAAACCGAATCGAAAGGAACGGGTTTTTCTGCAAGAGTTTTTTTTTGGCAAGAAAAGCAAAAGGAAAACAAGGGCTCGGGGTTTGTCATGGTTTGTTTCCCTTCCTCTCTCTTTTAGGTGTACATATATATATATACATAATATATATATATATATAGATAAATAGATATATTTGCAATCTGTATTTGCCCGGCGCGGTTTTGCCCCGAAGAACATCCGGGCAGCAACAAGCATGTGTGTTGCCGAGCAAAGTGGGCGCTTTGCGTGGTATCAGCTGGCCACTTCTGACGTCGGAAACCGTGTGAGCAAAGCTCGGAGATAGGAGTCATCAAAGTCACCCGGAGTGCCTCTGGAGTGGGTTAAAGGGACACCACCAACCGGCTTCTTTCTTTGAGCGCGCGAAAAAGTCAACATAAAGACCCCAGCTCAGTTGAATGGAATTTTGATGGGTGTTGTTTCCAAATGGGATCTGGATTCCCCGATAAACAAGCTAAGCCTGCTTCCCTATCTGTTTGAAATGCCCCCAACAAGATTGCCAACTGAACACCCCACAGCAAGGCCCGCAAAGGGAAGCTCGGCATTACAAGCAGCTCTCAGTGATCTGAAAAAACATCACCGTCATCCTGTCACGCATAAATTTGGGGAGCTATATCTCACGTTCAAGGGTAGGAGGGTCCAAGCAACCTTTCTCGAGGGAACACGACTGTCGCCTTTGTTCTGGAAACATGTTTTTAACTAAACCTCAAACCGTTGGGGGCAAGTCACCACAGCTACCTCACTGTCTGGGGCGACCGAAACCCGATAAAGGTTCCGCTCATAGGGTTTCCCTGGTGTTGGGTTGGTTCTTGGCGTTCATTCCGCAAATCTGCAAGCAAACTTTCACCAAGCGCTGTTTTGGTGATCCAACCTGTTAGCCACAACATGTATGCATGTGTCAAACTACGGGGACCCCCAAAAACGGCCGTCCGAAAATGGTTGGAACTCTTCGCCGAACACGTCAAAACTCGGCATGCAGTTGTTCTTTAGACTGCGAAAATTGGAAGGATGACACCTCCCCAAGTCCAACCCACGGCCTAGCGATCGATCCCAGCTGAGCCCTTCGCAGTGTCCGGAACTTCCGCGCGCCGGCGGAGCGGTCCTGACGGGGTGACGGGGTGGCCTGAGGCGCGTCCTCCAAATGGCGGCTTCCCTGGAAGGCACTGAAGTGACCCTCACAATCCTCACGTTGGACCCTGTTCAACCGCTTCGAACTTCGGACTACTTCGGTCTTTTCCCAACGTGCTTGTTGTGTGAGCGGGGGAGACGGGGGGGGACTGCAAGTAAGGGGGTCACTTTTGTTCAAAGAACTCAACCAACAGGCGATCCCCCGCCTTGCACGTGACCCCCTCTCCCAATCTTCCATTTGATTAAGACCCCTGGAAAAAACAATATTTCCAGTGTTAAATTCCCTTGAAAGCCAACAACGGAAAAATATTCTTAAGCAAATGGAAGCCAAGGTGATGTGTTGTTGTCCCGGCCCTGTGCCTATGGCCGTCGCTGTGAGGCCAAATGCACTATGCCGAATGCCGATGCCACCAAAATGTTTGCATCTGCACCTACATCCACGGGGAAAACCCAATACACCATCCAAACGGAAATAGAGAGGGAACCCAAAGGGAAACCCAAAGGAAAATCCCAAGGGGGACCATGGGGACCCAAAAACGAAACCCAAAACGACATCCAAAAGCAAACCCCAAACGGAAATGCAAAAGGGAACCGAGGAACCCAGAGTCCAAAAAAAATCCATGGGGAAGCCCAATGGGAAACTCGCAGGGAAAACTCCAAGGTACACCTGAAGCAAAAAACCTAAAGGAAACCCAAAGGGAAAGCCAAAAAACAATCCAAAGAGGAAACCCAAAGGGAGAAACTAATTAAAGGACCGGATAACCCCACATGCTATGTTTTTCCCAAGGATGTGAGTTCAAATGTCCACACACATGTACCGTGCGCCCCTTGTATGGATGCGATTACAGAGCACCCAGATGCACAGAATGCAGCGCCTGCCACGACTTCGGCAACGGCATCGCCAAAGTGCTGCGCCTGCCACGATTTCGCAACGGCATCGCCAAAGTGCTGCGCCTGCCACGATTTCGCACACCCCCCGCCGCGCGCGCGACAACATCCTGTCCCTCTAGACAGCTGCCGAATGCGACCCCTGCCACACAAACACACACCCAGATGCACAGAATGCTGCGCCTGCCACGACTTCGGCAACGGCATCGCCAAAGTGCTGCGCCTGCCACGATTTCGCAACGGCATCGCCAAAGTGCTGCGCCTGCCACGATTTCGCACACCCCCCGCCGCGCGCGCGACAACATCCTGTCCCTCTAGACAGCTGCCGAATGCGACCCCTGCCACACAAACACACACCCAGATGCACAGAATGCTGCGCCTGCCACGACTTCGGCAACGGCATCGCCAAAGTGCTGCGCCTGCCACGATTTCGCAACGGCATCGCCAAAGTGCTGCGCCTGCCACGATTTCGCACACCCCCCGCCGCGCGCGCGACAACATCCTGTCCCTCTAGACAGCTGCCGAATGCGACCCCTGCCACACAAACACACACCCAGATGCACAGAATGCTGCGCCTGCCACGACTTCGGCAACGGCATCGCCAAAGTGCTGCGCCTGCCACGATTTCGCAACGGCATCGCCAAAGTGCTGCGCCTGCCACGATTTCGCACGCCCCCCGCCGCGCGCGCGACAACATCCTGTCCCTCTAGACAGCTGCCGAATGCGACCCCTGCCACACAAACACACACCCAGATGCACAGAATGCTGCGCCTGCCACGACTTCGGCAACGGCATCGCCAAAGTGCTGCGCCTGCCACGATTTCGCAACGGCATCGCCAAAGTGCTGCGCCTGCCACGATTTCGCACACCCCCCGCCGCGCGCGCGACAACATCCTGTCCCTCTAGACAGCTGCCGAATGCGACCCCTGCCACACAAACACACACCCAGATGCACAGAATGCTGCGCCTGCCACGACTTCGGCAACGGCATCGCCAAAGTGCTGCGCCTGCCACGATTTCGCAACGGCATCGCCAAAGTGCTGCGCCTGCCACGATTTCGCACGCCCCCCGCCGCGCGCGCGACAACATCCTGTCCCTCTAGACAGCTGCCGAATGCGACCCCTGCCACACAAACACACACCCAGATGCACAGAATGCTGCGCCTGCCACGACTTCGGCAACGGCATCGCCAAAGTGCTGCGCCTGCCACGATTTCGCAACGGCATCGCCAAAGTGCTGCGCCTGCCACGATTTCGCACGCCCCCCGCCGCGCGCGCGACAACATCCTGTCCCTCTAGACAGCTGCCGAATGCGACCCCTGCCACACAAACACACACCCAGATGCACAGAATGCTGCGCCTGCCACGACTTCGTGCTGCGCCTGCCACGATTTCGCAACGGCATCAAAGTGCTGCGCCTGCCACGATCGCTGTCCCTCTAGACAGCTGCCGAATGCGACCCCTGCCACACAACCACACACCCAGATGCACAGAATGCTGCGCCTGCCACGACTTCGGCAACGGCATCGCCAAAGTGCTGCGCCTGCCACGATTTCGCAACGGCATCGCCAAAGTGCTGCGCCTGCCACGATTTCGCACGCCCCCCGCCGCGCGCGCGACAACATCCTGTCCCTCTAGACAGCTGCCGAATGCGACCCCTGCCACACAAACACACACCCAGATGCACAGAATGCTGCGCCTGCCTCGACTTCGGCAACGGCATCGCCAAAGTGCTGCGCCTGCCACAATTTCGCAACGGCATCGCCAAAGTGCTGCGCCTGCCACGATTTCGCACACCCCCCGCCGCGCGCGCGACAACATCCTGTCCCTCTAGACAGCTGCCGAATAGTCAGCGTGTGTGTGTGTGTGAGTTGAGCGAGTGAGTGAGTGATGTGAGTGAATGCGATTGGTGAGTGAATGTGATTGGAGTGTGGTGAGTGAGTGAGCGTGAGTGAGTGAGTGAGTGAGTGTGATGTGTGTGTGAGTGAGTGAGTGTGAGGGAGGTGACTGAGAGTGAGTGTGAGTGAGTGGTGAGTGAGTGTGAAGTGTGAGTGTGAGTGAGTGAGTGTGAGTTGAGTGAGTGTAAGTGAGTGAGTGAGAGTGAGTGAGTGAGTGAGTGAGTGAGTGAGTGAGTGAGTGAGTGAGTGAGTGAGACGGAGACGAGCGGGAGAAGGAGGAGACGCGGCGCGCGGACGACGAGCGGAAAAAGTAAGAACCCCACACAAAGATGTGGGGAAAAAGGGATTCTAAGGGGCCCGGACTCGAAAGACCCACTGCCATAACTGTGGAGATTGGGCAAACAAAGCGCACACTAATTCCTTTCGTTGGTTCACTTTAAAGGGGTCCACCCCTTTCAACACAGTTGAACAAAGAGTGGAAAGCTGGGGCAACTGTTTTGAACCCGCCCAGAAACACTAGAAAAAAACTGCTTGAACCCTGGCCCCACTAGGAGTCGGGGACAGGGCTCCCCCTCCCCCCTCACTGGGAGTCACAGTCGCGAGCACAGGCCTGGAGGCCCAAGGTGGAGGTTCCGGCACCTGCGAGCAACGAACAAAGAAAGAACAAATAATCTGGCTGTTCTAGGGGTTGATTCCTTGTCGATTTCTTTCGACCATCCTTCTTTAAAAAAAAGAAGATGAAAACAAAAGCGGATCTGTTCCCCTGTTTTTCCTGGGGTTCTGATGGTTTTCGGGAAAGAAGGATCCCTGGAAAGAATTGGGAAGTGTCCCCTAGAGCTGTTTCATGTTTGGCGCGACCCCTTCGGATGGTTGCGACATCCTCTCAGGCACCACCTAAGAGACCCCGCAATGGTGATTCCACTGTAAATACCAACAAACAAATGGTTTCAACCATGGGTTCAAAGTGGTGCGAAATGGATTTCGCCCATCCACAGTAGTTCTGTGGTTTTAAAACAAAACCCACAAGGACAGCCACGCCATTTTGGAGTGGGTCCCCTAAAAAATGATACACCCATCTATGGCTGCTGTTTTGACCGGTTTGGGGGGGCCACTGTTTCAGTTTGGTTTAGAGGGAAACCAAAAAGGAACACCGCCATTTGCGGCGGAATCCCTCTTTTGACACCATACCCATGATATATCTGTGACAATTTGCATCCGTGCGTGAAACCTGATAGAAACAAGACCCACAATAAGTAGCCTGCGGCTGAACTTGAAGACGCTTACACCAAAGGAAGCTTGACATATATATATATATCCTCACATGCATGTTTCACACGACCCGGGTTCCAGCGCTGGTTTTACCCCATGCCCAACGAAAACCCTCGGCGTGTGAATAAAAAAAAAAAACGTTGGAATCCCTCGCACATCCTCCTTGGTTTTCATGGGTCCCCATCCACCTTCGGAAAAAGCACAAAGGCATCCATGCATCCGCTTGCAACAGGCGCCCCTCACAAGACCCTGGCAGGGTAGGAATTCGGGAAGAGGAAATACCTAGGAGATGAGCGATCGCATCTTCACCTGGAGGCTGGGCTCTCAAGTCGTCGAACATTTGCCAGTGCTCCAGAAGGTACAGTGACAGTTCTGTTGGATAGCGATTGATACAAACAAAAACACAAGCAAACAGCGAGTCCTCGAACTGAAAAGGACAAAGCATGGGAAAAACCGAACAATGGCTTGGGGTGAACAGGGCCGGATTCTAAGCAATACTACACGTGTTCCAAACAGCACTAGGCGATTATAAAACAAGCAGCAGTACTATAGCATGAAGCTTTAGACCAGCACTAAAATCAGCTTTCCTCCAATTGGTGGTTTGGATTGGAGATTTGGTGGTTAAGGGGTAATTTCTGATTCGCCGTCTGCAGGAACCAGGGGTTCAAATCCCCAAATCACCAATCCAAACCACCAAACAAGGGACACCTGATAAACAGTACTTACAGGAACACTACCGGGGGGGTGGTCCGATTTAACTTTGGTGTTGCACCCCTTTTTTGCTCCAAATTTGGAGTCCTTTCAGCACCTCACATTGCAATTACTCTATGTTTGCCGGGTCATGACTCTCAGTAGCAACACATATGTCAAAACAAACATGCAGCTCGGTCGCAGCTACGCCCTCACCAAAAAAAACACGGAGTTGTCAAGGGCAACTTTGTCTTTTGGACCTGTACCCATAGTCTTGGTACCCTCTTTCCACATGGAAGTGGCCAGGCAACGGTTCCAAAGCGCTTCTGTCTTTCATGATGTTGAGCAAAGGTCAATCTTGCAATAATTCACAAACTGGAAATCATGACTCTCCAAGTGACAGACCTCCGTGGACAAGCTCGCCATATGGCTCAAGATTGTGGTTTGCATCTTGGTCTTCTCTTCAAACACACACACACACAGACACACGCCCGCGCGCCAACTACATGCAGAATGACCAACCACAAGCTTACGCGGAGGCACCTTGTAGTATTTGGGCATCGGCTTCGCTTCAGCCTCAGCTCGGACAGAATGCACGTGTACTTGGGTGTTCGACCTAACTTTATTAAGTCCCCCATTCAGTAAGTCCCCCATTCAGTGGGTTTGTTATTAGGGGATTATATCCCAAGCGGCTAACCACAACCACAGACACACACACACACCCATGCACGCACTATCCTGGCAAATCGAACATCCAAGGGACGGGAAGACGGGAACCCGGAAAATGAACGTCGCCGGCTTCCCGTCAAATCTGGAGTTCATCCCTGCAGGATACCGTTCGTCCACAGTAGGAATCACAGGGACGGGTCTGTCTTGAAGGTTGCACTTCGGAAAAGGGGCGAAATTGCGGGATCCCTAAATCTGTACATTGATTCTCTTAGACCCCAATTCAGAGGTCGATGACCGTCCCTACTGCGAGTGAAGCTCATCGTCTGCCACCTGAAAAACTATCGTCCGCTTGGTTCTACAAACAGAACTACAACTGTTTTGTGGGCCTTGCCAGAATTTATCTAAAACCAGCACCTATTCACTTCCTGAATGGATTGGCAAAAACAGGCTCAAACTCTTCATTTACCGGACACATTGTCTTCCCAGAAGGTTTAAAGTCCAGGAACTCAGGGAGTGAGCTTACCAAAGTAGTGGTTTGGAGATCAAACCTCGTCACTGCTAATGTGGACCCCGTATTAATTAACTCCAGTTTATTACTAAGGGGGTGTTCCCTCCAAAAGTGATAAATCCCCACTAAAGCCAGAACCGGACACCCCCATATCAATAAACAGGGGTTTATTAATCCGGGGTCACCCAGCTATGCGGAATCTGCGGGGGGTTTTCGACTCCGGGGTTTCGCGCAGCTTTCTTCGGCATGGGTGAAGCTTCGACCTTGGACACAGAGTCAGCGTGGCTCAGAGTCAGAGCCCAGTGTCAGCACGGGAACTCGGTTGCGAAATCTGCGAGCCCCTGCCAAAAGTTTAATTAGCTTTTAGTGGTTTAATACGGAAAACCCGTTAGTTGGCGAAAAGCTAAAGTCCAAACATCGAAGCAAAATGCACCAAAGGGAAGACTGCCCTGCAACACGCCCAAGCCCCGAGTTTTGACGCATCCTCGTCCCTTTTTACAGAATCGGCGTCGGTGTCCCGTTAGTATGGAATCGCTCAGGTGGGTGGAACCCCCCACATCCCCCCACCCCTTGAACCCCCAGACTCCAAAAACAAAGAATCCCAATACGACTGGTTCGACACATTTCCATCACACAGGCCACCAGAAATCTGCAACGGAATTCCGGAGCACCCCCCAACAACTGCTTCTCCCATGTCAAAAATCCCATGTACTGTCCAAAAAGCTGTTGTTGGGACCCTGGTGCTGGGACAAGGATCCTAGGAATTGCTCTAGCGAGAGTTTTTCATTCGCAAACCAAACCTGTGACAGGTCGTCAGCTTGTGCCAAAGTATGACAATTGTTGAGTCTCTGAATTACGGAAGTCCTAAGGAACTGTGAAAGTGCTGTTCTAGGCTATTCTCCGTCCCTGTTTGGGGGAAACCAAAAGCAACACTTGAATTTTGAGGCTACCCTCAACAAAAACGACACACCCAAATGGGCATGGGTCAAAAGCCCGTACCCCAGGTGAACATCCCAATCCCCACTAAAGTAAAGCCTAAAATGGGTGGTGAATTCACCTACCCCAAAATGGTATCCCATTGGTTTTGACCCACAGGCACTTGAATTTTGAGGCTACCCTCAACAAAAACGACACACCTAGAGTCTCCTTCTGACCCTGAAAAATGGGTCCACGACTCAAAGGAGAGGGAAACACAGTTTTGTCAACAACGGGGGAACCCGGGACCTTAAAAGGAACGAACCCCTCCGTGACTGCGACCTCTCCCTTAACCTTGGGGCTAGCGCGGTGCAACGCGCTGTTTTCAGCACTTGAGCCAAAGCAGTGATTGGATCATGCTTTGGCAACCACTTGAATGTACAACATGCAACTGACTACATGAGAACCTACCTCATGTACCTCTGGGCCATAAATGTCATCGTGATAATTGACTCCCCCCTCATTGACGGCACTGAGGGAGTGTCTTGGGCGCATTACCACGCCAACTTGAAGTCAAGTTTACATCACAACGACTGACACAAGTTATTCAAGCATCACCCAGGCACTTTGCACACTTTTGGAAATTTTGCGGACATGCTGCAGCGCACTAGGCAGCTGCTTTAGCGGCTCTACTTTCACGAACGTCTTCAAGCTTCTCTGGAAGGTCAACACGAATGCCGAGCAACCGGATGGCATGGTCCCACTTGTTGGGTGGAAGTGCTTTCGTGAAGATGTCCGCTGACTGCATGTCGGTTTGGACGTATTCTATCGAGATGTGTTCGCTTTCAAGCTGCTCTGCGATGCACGCGAGGTTCACCTTGTGTGTTCGCTGGACACAGCGTAGCTTGGATGAGAAACCTTTCCTTGCTACGAGGATAGTCGCCTGATTGTCCTCGTGGATCTTGAGATGGAATGGTCGGTCCAAGATCAGCTCCCACAAGCTAAGCGCAGGGAGCGCCTCCTGATAAAGGGAGTATGCGAGAGATACAATCTCCGCCTCGGTCGTTGACCGGGAGACCGATGTCTGCCTTTTGGATACCCACGCAAGCGGAAAATGCGTGTGCGGACCACTCAAAATCAAGAATCCTCCGGACGTGGATTTTGCATCTCGCTCTCCGGCGAAATCGGCGTCCACATAAAGGGACAGATGCAAATCCTCAGTCGAATCTTGAACTGTGCCTACTAGCGTGCTGTTGACCGTGCTGTTTATGTAGCAAACAAGCCTATGTAGCTGCTTATCGCAGTTTCTAGACCATTTTTGAACAAATGAGGCAAGGTCGCCAATGGGCTTGACCAGGTCTGGGCGTGCCAAACGGCCGAGCCACAAGGCTTTCATCAACACGCGGCAAGCGGCGAAGCCGAGCTCACCCTCCAAGGCGTCATCTGCAGGATCAAGGGATCCAGCGGGACAGAATGGAGTGGTGGCATCACGCAACTTTTCACTTTTTAGCTGTGCAACCTCAAGATATAATGCCACCGTTTGACGGGCATAATCCCGCATGTCGAACGCCATGCCCCCTTTCAATCTGCCCATTGCGGCATTAAGATCGGGTTCAGTTGGGTCCTTTGGAGCATCTATCAAAAGGTGGTTCCTGCCTAGCACCCGATATATGTCTTCTGGGGGTTCTATATCAACCAGTCTTGTTAACTTTTCCCAGAAGTCTTTATGAAGGTGGCTGGGGCCGGCCAACGTCAAGTCGTCGACGTATGTCGAGAGAAGTAACCCGGACTCCTTGAACCAGAAGTTTCCAGGAAACTCTGCGACCTCACGCCCTCCAAGTTCACTAATGAACCCTTTGAGGTGTGCCTCCCAGAGTCCGCCAGCGTCAGGATGCCCATAAAGAGCTTTAACGAGCAAAACCACAGGTTTCACGAAACGCTCGCGCCACCACCTTGGCCGGAGCTCAGGCGGGAGTGTGATCCAAGTTTGGTACTTGGACTTCAGCAGTGCTTGCACATAAGCCTTTATAGCGTCCGCTGTTGTGGTGGAATTCCCTGGCAGGGATCCATAAGCGAGACAGTTATTAAGACCTTGTACGCTCGTGGGATTTGCTCCCAACTCTTGGTAGACAGCTGCTGCGCCATGTTCGTCTTTCGCACAGTCTCCGCGATACACAATCCTACCTTTCATCTTCTGAAGGTGTTTCGCGAGTTCGGCGAACTTGACGGATGCTAGCGACATCAACTGCCCGAAATGGACTTTTATACTGGATCGTCGCGCCTCAGCAGCGACTTGATCATACTCTCGGACTGAATTTAGATCCCAGGCACCGGCTTTCTCCAGGCCTGTGGCTTCAAGTCGAACGGCTTCAAGAGCTTCCGGGGAAGCCAACATTTCGGCACGTGACAAGAGTCTGGTCACCATTGCGGTGATCTCAGGATCCTTCTTCTCTTTGACTTGTCCTAGGGAATGTGCGATGAGATTTTCAACATCAAGAACTTGCTCAAGGATGTTGTGACACTTTTCATCGGACTCAACAGCAACACCTATATCTTCCAGACCAGAGAGAGGGGATATGTGCTTCAACTGCTGTTCACGTTCCCGGTGATCGAGAGGCAATGGCACTTGAACAGGCATCGCAGGCACGGCGGGTTGAACTGTCGGATACAGCGCACGGGCAACTGTGAGACACATGCCTTCGGGGTAGAAAGCGGTCTTTGCGGTCTTGTTACCTGCTGCAAGCGAATGCTTATACCCTTTTTCGTGCGGACACTTGAATGCACCTAGTGCGGATGCGAGTGTGCTATTGCTGGTCATGACTTTCCATGGCTTCTTGATGGGATAGCCATTGCTGTCCTTCAGGCCTAGGGCGCAACCATGGAAGGTCGCTGGGGTGAAGACGTGTGCATATTCTCTAAAGAATGCAGAAACATCATCCCTAGCCCAGCTGTCGCAATCCCTTGGCCACTCAAACGAAACACTACCCCCCTGATGGAGGACAGTCTCTGCGTGACGTCTGAATCTGGAGAACAACTCTCTCGACTCTTTAACCTTTTGCTTCAGTTTCTTTTTGAACTGGCTTCCTAACTTGGCCTTATTAAGGCGTTGCCATGCTGAACCTGATGTGCAGGGAATTGCGGCCCAGAGATTGGGTTTATCACAACCTTCAATCTGCGACTGCAACTGGATTTCTCCTTCATCTGTGCTGAGGTCGATAAACTCTTTAGCCAGCCTAACATGAGGTATGCCAAGACCTTCAAACACGCGACCCATGTTGGACTCTGGTGAACATGCGTATTCGAACATCACAGGCAACTTGTCAATACGTGCCTGTTTCTTGCGGGCACGATGATTTCCAACCTCAAACTGCTTGCGCTGTGGAGCTTCAACTTCTGCGCTGCATGGCATGCCAAAAATTGGCAATGTGTTCGGACGACCGTTCTTTGACGCTTCGGTGAGAGGTGTCGG